CACTGTAAGTGCTTTCTTCCAGTAGATGCCACCACACCACTGTCAGCGTTGCCCTTTATCTGCCATCTGACTTCGAAGCTCCCCACACCGCTGATCCCCACTGCTCAGAACAGGGCTCGGCCGGCAGATCTGCCATCTCACCGCCTTTCCCAAGCACAGCCCTTACCGGACTCCCACCCACCTCAGCGGGGCGACAGACGCATTAAATACAGCACTTCGCTCGGTACTTCACGCTCCTTAGGCGCAGTCCAGATCCTCTCCTCCCACTCCGAGTCTCCTTTGCTATCCCCACCGGCACAGGAACAAGGAATCAGATGAACGAACCACACGCATTCACCGAGTTATCTGTAAGCCGCTCTGGTTTGCCGGCGCACAGCTGGGGATGGGCGCAAGGAGCGGCGGTTCTCACGCAGGTATAACCCTAACGGCCCCTCACACCGGCTCCAGCCCTCCAGCCCTCCAGCCCTCCCGCGCCCCCCCGCGCGGCTCCCCCCGCCGAACCCCGCACTGCGGCCGGCGCTCCGAGGGGGAGGGCGGACCTCGCCTCAGCGCTGAGGGCATTCCTTTCCCTCACAGGAGGCCCCGCGCCTCAGCGCTTGTCCAGGGGAGTGAGCCCTGAGCTCAGGACCGGAGCAGGAGAATGGAGGGAGAAGGATGGGAGGAACGAGGTCGGCCCGAACCCCGCCGCGCCCACAGCCCCTCACCTGCCCGCCGCTCCGGCCGCCGCGCCTGCACGCCCGCGCCGCGCGCCCCCATTGGCCACGCGCTCACCCGTCCCCGCCAGCCCATTGGTCGAGCCGTCGCGCTTACTAACGCTATGCCTTCCATTGGTTGAACTGCCGAGCTAGATCCCGCCCCTCCAGCACGTCTCGCGACAACAACTTTATTGAGGCGCTAGGAGGCGGACACTGACAGCGCGCCGTTACGGGCGGGGTGGGGGAGCTCTGCCTGTGGAGCCGCGGGTTCGAGGCTGTCTCCCGCCGCTTCCCGAACTGAGAAATGGCCCGAGGGGCGCCGGGGGTCGTGAGTCAGCGACGGCGCTCCGGGCGCGAAAACACTAAAAGCACGAAAGGATGAAGCGACACTTGTGCAAACTCCCATGAGTTTGGCTCTTTGCTGCCCTGAAGCCCCCCACGCCCACTTGTCCCCAACCCCTCCTTGAAGGACCTTCATTCGCACAAAGCAAAAATGGACTTCAATTATAAACGACCTTGAGGGGACCCCGGACTGCTCCCCCTTTCAGCTTCAGCCCCCCTTCCCATTTGCAGATGCAGGCAGAGCGAGGCACGGCCCCCAAAGCACACCCCCCCAAAGCACACCCCAGGAACTGCTTCAGCTTCAGCCCAGGGCACGGCTGGTAAGGAGCCAAGGCATTAATTTACAAGACAAATGAGTGCTGAGCAGGACAGCACCTTGTCCATAGCCAGCACCCCTCAATGAGGGGTCCAGGGCCACCCACCCCACACGGCTCCCAGACCCCAACAATGGGCTGAGCCATCCCCACCACAGGGGACGGTGTGATGGCAGCAGGATGCACAGCAGACATGCGTGGGCAGGCTGGGGCCCTGCGGCACAGGTAGGGCCAACTTTCACTTGGCAGGTGTTTTCGGAAGGAAAAGAGCAGCCAGGCGCCTTCCCACACCTCCAGCACCCCCACCTTGTCTGCCCCCCCAGGGCAGGAGCCAGCCAGGCTGTACTCACACCTGCCGCAACGTGGCATCCTGAGACCCCCCCTCACCAGGGGCTGTGACACAGCACCCAGAGTGCCCCAACTCCCCCCGTGACATCACTCTGTCCCCTCAAACCACTGCCCCCAGGGGGTTTGGTGCAGTCCCCAGCACCCAAACAGGTGTCACAAGCAGCATCAGGGCTCAGCTTCAGCCAAACTCATTTATTTCCTCCATCGGTATGGACGGTACAAAGCATGTAAAAATAAGCTTTCTCGTGGTCCCCATCACCCCCACCCTGTCCCCGAAGCATGGTGGCTATTTACAGGCAAGGTAGGCGGCTCAGTGGCAGCAGCTGCACTTGCTGCTGGCCGGCTCCTTGCACACACAGCCCTTGGCACAGTTGTTGCAGCCGGCAGGGCAGCAGGAGCAGCAGCCTGGGGAGAGAATGCAAGAGTTAGGGGGTGGGAAGGATGGGAATGGAGATATGTATATGGGGGAAGGATCAGGGGACACTGTGGGAATGGGAATCCCCATGGAGCAGGGCTGTGGTTCCAAAGGGGTTGGAAGGGTCCGTGGGGGTCCTGTGTGTTGGAGATTCTCCCCTTCTCTCTTCATAGGGGAGGAGGGAGGCGGAGTTCCCAGGGAGAAGGTAGGAATCATCATGGGGGCTCTATGGTGTACACGGAGGAGTGCCACAGGATAGGCACCTCCAGGGAGAGCGGAGTGGGGGGGGGGAAATGTGTGCATGGGGGGTCCTGCAGGAGCAAGTAGACAAGGGAAATGGGGGCTGTTCATAGGAAGACCTACAGAGCAAGTCAGGGGCAGGAAGGTGGATATAGGGAGTCCTACAGGAGCAAATTGGGGGGGGGGCTGTCCATAGGGAGTCCAACTTGAGTAAGTCGGGGACAGGGGTGTCCATAGGGGGGTCCTACCAGAGTAAGTCAGGAGCAAGGAGGGGGTGTTCGTTGGGGTTCCTAAAGGAGCAAGTGGAGGGCAGGGAGGGGGTGTCCATGGGGGTTCTACAGGAACAAGTGGAGGTAGGGGGGCTGTTCATAAGGGGTTCTACAGGAGCACATCAGAGGTGGTGAGGGGGTGTCTGAGGGGGTGTCCATGGGGGTTCCTACAGGAGCAAGTGGAGGAGGTCCAACAGGAGCAGGGGGAAGGGTGCTTCCCTCGAGAAGGAGGAGTGAGGGAGGTCTCCATGAGAGTCCCAAAGGGGAAGGACAGAGGACCACAGGGCAGGGACCCCCAAAGCACCCGTGGGTCAGGGATCCCCGCAGCCCCCAACTCACTCTTACGGCAGCTCCGGCAGCGGCAGTTCTTGCACTTACACGACCCAGCGCAGGAGCAGGAGTCACCTGGGACAGGAAAGAAGCCGTCAGCGACACGAGCCGGGCCGAAAGGAGCCAGACCGCGTCCCGTCGCGTCCACTTACCAGCAGCACAGGTGCAGTCCTGAGGGTCCATGGCTCGGTTCGGTTCCGTTCGGTTCGGCTGGGCTCAGACGGGCTCAATTCGGATGGGCTCGCAGCAGTCCCAAGCTCTGCTGCCCGCCCTGTATTTATAGTGCCGGGGTGGTGCTGGGCGCAGCGCACGGCGGGGCGGTGCCGATCCGTGCCGTGCTGAGCGCCGTGCCGTGCCGAGCTTTGGGGCCGGGCCGTGCCGTGCTCAGCGGGGCGGAGCAGCGCCGTGCCGTGCTCAGCAGGGTCAGGGCCGTGCCTCCACCCCCCCGCCTGCCTGGGCAGCCCTGGCTGTTGGTGTCCCCCAAACCAAGGGGTTCAGCTGTGGGATGGCCATGCGTACCCACAGATTGAGTTTTGCTTTTGCTCTCCCTTCCCTCTCCCCCCCCATCCCAAACACCACTCTTTGCCGGAATACAGCACGGCCCCACGTGCCCGCCCTCCTCGCTTCCCCCCTCCCGCTTTTGCTGCCGAAAGGGCGAATTGGGGGGGGAGGGGGGACTGGGGGAAGAGGGGAATTTCCCGGCCGCTGCTCTGCGCTCGGCTACGGCAATGTGACTCGGCGGGGCCGTTGCGCCACTGCTGCCCCCCCGCCCCCCGCCCCGGGCAGCGCTGCGGGGCGGTGCGCACGGCGTCGGGCCGTGCTGAGAGCCGAGAGTCGCACGGTTACAGCAAAACAGCCCATCGGGGGCGTCGCACCCCGTTGTGGACACCACATCCCACTGCAGTCACTGTATGGCATCGTAGGCATCCCGTAGGTTATTATGAGCACCACATCCCGTTCTGGGCATCGCACCCCATCAGAGGAGGGCTGCAGCACCTCCCCTACGAATACAGGCTGGGGGAGCTGGGCTTATTCAGCCTGGAGAAAAGAAGGCTGCAGGGTGACCCCATTGCAGCCTTCAGTACCTAAAGGGAGCCTACAAACAGGAGGGGAGGCAACTCTGTGAAAGGAGAGATGACAGCAGGACAAGGGGAGATGGTCTGAAGTTGAGGGAGGGAAGATTTTGGCTGGATATCAGGGGGAAGTTCTGTACTATGAGAGCAGTGAGGTGCTGGAACAGCTGCCCGGAGAGGCTGTGGATGCCCCGTCCATCCCTGGAGGTGTTCAAGGCCAGGTTGGATGGGGCCCTGGGCAGCCTGGGCTGCTATGAAACGCGGAGGTTGGTGGTCCTGCATGTGGCAGGGGGTTGGAGTTTCATCATCCTTGAGGTCCCTTCCAACCCTGGCCATTCCGTAATCCCTTTATAGACATTGGACCCTCACTGTGGGTTTCCCAACCCAATGTAGGCATCACACCCCATTCTGGGCACGGCATACTGGTGAGGGCATTGCATCTCATCACAGGCCCTGCACCCTGACGTGGTCTTTGCACCTTGACACGGGCACTGCAGCCGATGGTGGGCATCACATCCCTTTGGACCACTGCACCCCAGTACCGGCATTGCAGTCCATGCAACTGCAGCCACCCCATCCCCTGCGGACTGGCGGCTCTGCCAGTCCCACCCGCTGCCAGGAGGAAAACAAACTGGTTCTCTGGTGCCCCACCTGCTGCCCGAACATTACCGCTGGAAATGGGCATGGCCCTTATTACCACGCTGTTGACAAATGCTCATAATAACGAGCTGCTTGTTAGCCCTGAGGATTTCTGGTGGAGGAGAGAGCCTGGGATTTGCCCTTGGGTATCAATTGAGAGGGGAAAAAAAAAATCCTGGAGAATTAACTTGTGAAGGGAAAGTGTTAAACCCAGAGAGCTGGGGAGGCTGAGAGGAAGCCAGGCCTGTGACGGGTGCCAGCCTGGGCTGTTCCCCAGGCACTGTGCCATGCCCCCCCAACTCAGTGCCCCCCGACCCCAGGGAGCAGAGGCGCAGTTATATACACACAGCTTTATTCAGGCAGCTCATGGCACACCACATGTGCTGAACACTGACACAATCCGAACACACATATAAAAAAACACATACTATAAGATTAGTTTTCCTCGGCGTGGCGTGGGGGGGGCCGCTACTTGCAGCAGCTGCACTTGGCAGAGGGGGGCCCTTTGCAGACACAGCCCTGTGCACACTTGGCACATCCTGCAGGGCAGCAGGAGCAGCAGCCTGGGGAGAAAAGAGACACATTTTGGGGTGAGGGAATGATCTGGGATGCTGGGTTCCCATCACCCCCCTCCCCGCACTGATGCTGTGATGGCTGGGCATCATCCCCAGCCTCATTTGGCAATGTCTCCTCCCTCCTTGGGTACCTCTCCCAGGCACCCTCACCCATGCAGACCCCCAAGCACCCTCCCACCCACTCTGAGTGTGTCTGGAGCAGACAGAGAGCAAGCAAAGAGCATCGCAGTGTTGGTTCCCCCCTGCCTGGCATCAATGAGTGCTGAGCCTCGGGAACATCTGGACTTGGGGTTATGCTTATCACAGAGTCAACCTCCCATCCTCTGAGGACCGAAAGAAAAAGAGAATGAGCAAAGTGATATCTGGGAAAGGGATTCCTGAGCCTGATTTGATGTGATGTGAGTGGAGATGAGTCGTGGAAAAAAAAAAAAAAACAACACTGAGTGTTTCTGATGTCCGAGGGGGATGGGAGCTGCCTTACCTTTTTTGCACGATGTGCATTTGCAGTTTTTACATTTGCAGTTGTCTCCGCACGTGCAGGTGCCGCCTGAAAGCGAGAGGAAATGAGGATAAAAGGGGAAAAACGGCCGAGCTCCCCCACCCCAGGCGTCCCCGCTGCAGCAGCAGCCCGCAGCCCCGCAGGGATGCTGCAGCCCCGGCAGGGCTTACCGGTGGCACACGGGCAGTCCTGGGAGTCCATGACGCGGCTGCGAGACGTCAGTACAGAGGCTGGAGCTTCACGCTGCCCGAGCCGCCGCTATTTAACCACGGCGGGAGAGAGGAGTGCAAAACCGCCCCCCGCCCCCCCCCCCCCGCTCGCAGCCTGCGCACGGCTCTGCCCGCTGTCGCCCCGGACGCTGCTGATTCACCGCTCCCGTCCCGGTTGGTGACGATGCGTTGGGTCACCGCCACCCCGGGACGGACGGGCGGATGGACGGATACACAGATATACACGCATCGGCGTGCTTGCAGAAAACGGGCAGCTCATCACACCGCCGTCCCGTCCCCGCCCTGAACCTCCTATGCTAAAACCGCGGGGCGTTTGGAGGAGGACGTGAGCCCGGCACACCGGCACAGCCCCCTCCCTCGATGACCGCCCCACGTCCCCACCGCCCTCACTGCCAGCGGCCGCACCGACGGACCCGACCGGCCCTGCCGGAGCCCGCAGCCCTCCGGCACCCCGCCGTCGTGCCCCCCCTCCACCCCCCCCTCCCGCTCCGATTAATTTCCGCACACAATTAGCAGGGAGGAGGGTGGCGGGGAGTCGCGGCGCTGCCATCGGTTTGGCCAACTTTGCCGGCAGCTTCGCACGCCCACTCGAAAGAGCCGCGGGGACGCGGGGTGGGAGGTGCCGAAGGGATGATGTCTGTGTTCTGTTTTCTTTGTGAAACGAAAGTAATGCGGCGTGCAGGGAGGTACTGCCTCGTGGCCAGAAGGCTTTGCCAGCCGTGGAGCATCCTCCCACACACGATGTGCTGCGTGCAGCCCCTTTTTGCCCCCATCCCCAAAAGCCCCTACTGATGCTCCAGGCCCCGGTGTTTTCCCCTCCAAACATCCCATTCCCTGGAGCACGGCTAATGCGCATCCCTGAGACCACCACACACGGCACCAGCACCCAGCATCGCCCACACATTGAGGGTGACAGATGTGAGCCATGAGGCTGAGGATGTGCCCGTGCCGCAGCCCTCAATGGCCATGCTGGGAACTTGCCGTGCTTTGGGGTTTTATCCAGGCTCGGCTCTTGGCTGCTGAGCCTTGCTGCTGCATTGGAGGCAACGCTAATCCAGCTAAACCGCGGGACCAGGAGTGTTTTACCACCCATCTGTCTGGGCACGTTAGGAGCTGGTTGGGTGACCAAGCAGGGAATGGTGCCAGCAGCTGAGCCAGGCGCTGGTGGGAAATGTGCAAAAAGCCCACAGGAGGCAGAGCCCATGGGTTTGCACTTTGTCCCAACCACCCAGCTGTGCACCACCGTTGGGCAGATGCTTGTCCCCATGTCCCCACCGCACGTGACAAGCCAATGAGGTGCCAACTCACAGTGCAAAACTGGGACCCGTGTGCCAAGGCTGCTTGTGTGGGATGCTTGGATGCAGCCCCAGCCGTGCCCCAAGCACCTCCTGGGGGAGCAGTGCTGGAATAGCCTCAGGTGATGCTCTCCAGCCGTCACATGAGTGTCATGCTGCTGTGTCACCGCAGTCAGGCTTTGTGTCCTGCAGGGTGATCACAACTGCTCAGGAAAACACAGCCATGCCCAGGAACACGTGCATGGCTGGCACTCATCACCTGCATCACCCCAAGTGCCAGGGCTGTCAGCACCTGCCTGCTGTGCAGGGATGTCATTGGGAAGCTCCATGAGCTGGTGGCATCTCCTGGAGGAGTGCGGAGGTGGGAGCCAGCATGTGACTCTGTTTCTTCCTGTCTGCTCCCAGCTTGGCCACGAGCCCTATCCCTGCTTTGCATGAGGGAAGGGAGGGGAAATCCCAGTCCCAGAGAGCAGCAGCGGAGCCATGCAGGTGCTCTGCAAGCTGGTGTCACTGTCCCCATGATGTGCACCTGTGTCACCTGGCAGCAGGTGGCTGTGACTGGTGGGAAGGTGACACGGTGGGCAGGTGATCATCCAGCAGCAGGTGATGTTCTGGGATGTGCTGCAGGTGACAACCACTGCGTGCCAGGTCCTGCTGGAGGACCTCCTGCTGGAGGACCTTCCTGTGTCCCACGGTGTCACCTGGAACAGTGAGGGGCTCCTCTAGCCGAGTGCCACAGCTCAGAGTGGTGGGAACCGTGGGCTGGGCAATGGAAGTGGGGTGGGCATGGCATGGAGGACCATTCCCTGGGAGCATCCCAGCACTCAGAGAAACCAAGGGGCATGAGCACCCCCAGCCAACACACCCTACCCACCAAGCAGTGCAGGACGGATGGCAGACCTGCTTTTTGCAGGGATCACGTCGCTGTTCGGAGGCGACAAAGCGCCGTGCAGGGGAAGCAAGGGAAATAAGTGCTGACGCTGCGCCGTGTTGCTGGCAGGGGGTGAATCAGCCCCGAACGTGCTGAGCATCGCAGGCCGATTGAGGTGGCATCGTGCAGCACGGACGGCCCATCCGTGCCCGGTTGCAGGCAGGGCGCGGTGCGGGCTGTGCCTTCCTCGCTGCGGGGAGCGCAGCCCTCTGGGGGCTCTGCGGGGCTCCCACCCGCTGCCCACGGGGCGGCTCCGTGCGGGTTTTCATTAAGGACGAATTGCACGACGTGCAGGAACGTGACGCTTTCCCAACTCCGCAGCGGGCTTTGATGTGGGCTGCTGCCATCCGCGTTGCAAGGCGCGGGGCCGTGACTCAAAGCGCCCGACGGCTCCTTTCCACCCGCAGCCTGTTTGTTATCTGCGGGACCTCTCCCTCGGAAAAAAACAAAACACAAAACAAACCACGTAGGGTGGGCAGCGATTTGCTAATGAATTCTTCGTAACGAACAAACAGAGCTGCACCACGCGCTGGTGCGGCCCTGCACCCCCCGTGTGCCCCGAGGGCCGCCCCCGGCGCTCCGGTGGGTTTCGGGGCGGGCGGAGTCCGCTCGGGCGCGCCCAGAGATGAAAGGGCCGCTCCGTCTGATCCCGAAACTCTCATAAATGTGAATGGAGATTACTTCAAGGTGTAACGAGGGCAGAATTGCGGCCCCTCAGGGCAGCGAGGGGCGAGGACTGAGAAATAAAGGGACCCGTGAGAGCCGAGCTGGGCGGTCGCGCAGTGCTGCGGGCAGGACCGCGTTGTGCCCTGCTTCGTTCGGCGGCTTTGGGAACCTCGGCATCACCGTAACTCACCGCCGTGACGGTGGCACTGCGACGCCCTACCCGTGTACAGCCCGGATTTTCTTTTTTCCCTTCCTTTCATGTCTTTCGGGTTCCCACAGACTTCAAACTCACCTGCACCAACAGCGAGCCGCCTCCCCGGCTGGAACGTGACCTGAAGTTTCCAAGTATCGTTACCTTGGGCATATTTCTTTCTTTTTTTTTTTTTTTTTTTTCCCTTTCCCACTTGCTAATTTTCGGAATTAGAAGCCAAGGCAGAGCGGTGAGCAGCGCCGCGGGACACTGAGCAGACACTTGTCTGAGCTTGCACAACACCAAGTCCTCAGTGTGAGCACGGGGAATAAAAGGATGTGATGCTCTTCTCGATGTCTTCGCAGCCAGAAACTGTGCAAGCAGTGGTCCTGGTCTGATGTCTGCAGAAACAGCTCACATCTGCTGGGTTTGGGGAGTTAGTGGCTCTCCCATCCCCAATCCCTCAACTCTATTCCCAACCCCTATTTCCACTCCCAGTCCCCATCCTCAATCCCTATTCTCCATCCCCAATCCCAATCCCTCAATCCCCAATCCCTCTCTCCATCCCCAACCCCCTTTCTCAATCTCCACCCCTCAATCCCCCATCCCCCACCCCTTACCTCCCTTATATGACTTCTGACGTTGATTTTTGCCAGCATCTCCCCCAGCCACCCACTGCTCACTATCTGAGCAGGTTTAACACATTGCCAGGGCACATCAGGCAGGAGGCTTCGGTCAGACAGGGACACGGTGGATTTCAAGCTATTTTTGAAGCCTTTGCCAGCAGTCAGCTCCTGGGTGGGCAGTGATGCTTGCCATGCTGCTGCAGCCAGCTCCTTGCACTGCCTTTGCCTACTGAGCCAGCAAACCATGCCAGCTGTGTTTTGGGCAGGCTGAGCTCCCCCAGGAGAGCCAGATCCCTGGAACCGATGGGTGCTGGCTGAGAACACAGCAGAGGAGGCTCTTGTCTCCGTACAACTCACCAAGATTTTATTTTAAATAAACGAGCTGTATGTTTTGAAGGGACTGCCCCGCTGTCTGCAGCCACGCTTTGGAAGCTAGGAGAAATGAATGCTGAAATGGCCCACGTGGCACCGTACTCCCGGCAGTTCTGCCACCAGGCCCTTCCTGATGCTGGGAAGGATGGACGCGATGCAGCCCAACACACAGCAGGGAGGCAGCAGGGCTGTGGGCAGCCCTTCCCACCCAGCTGTAAGGCACACAGATGTCCTTGGCTTTCCTCCCTCATGTCTTGGCTGAAGACCTGGGCCTGCTGCTGTTTCTGGTGTCAGAGCTGTTCCTTACAGGCAGCTCAGTGGGAAGCAGATGGTACAGATGGTGCTGTGACTGCTCCACTGCCCCCCACATCCCTAACTGCTCCCCCAGCTGCCCTCCAGGCCTCTAATTACCTCAACAGCCCCCTACATCCCGACCCCCTAGCTGCTCCCCAAACCCTTAATTGATCCCCCAACTGCTCTCCAAACTCCCAGTCACCCCTCAGCTGACCCCAAACTCCTAACTGTTCCCCTAGCTGTCCCACAACCCCTAATTACCTCCTAACTACCCCCATATTTGTCCCCCATGTCCCCTAACTGATCCCCAAATACATAACTGACACCCTAGCTGCCACATAAGCTCCTAATCACCTCCTCAATTGTTCCCCTAGCTGCCCCCCAAACCCCTAATTACTCCCTAATTACCCCTCGTGTCCCCTAATTGACCCCCAAACCCCTCAACTGACCCCTTAGCTGCCCCCCAAACCCTAATTACTCTCCTAATTACTCTCCTAATTACTCCCCTATTTCCCCCCATCTCCCCTAACTGACCCCCAAACCTCCCAACTGATCCCCTAGGTGCCCTTCAACCCTAATCATTGTCCTAATTACTCCCTTAATTACCCCCACCTCCCCAACTGATCCCCAGTGCCTCCAACCGACCCCCTTAGCTGCCCC